ATAGGCATGCACTATCATTGGCAGAGGGCAGAATGCTGCCATTCACAGTTCATCTATCACAAGTTTATTTTATTTTTCTTTGTCTGTCTTTACAGTTATCCCTTCTATATCTGTTTTTTTCTGGCTTCTTCAGGTTTTATCTGGTCCTCTTCTCTGTTACTCTTCTTCCTCATTAGGCAGAGATCCACCAATCAACACTGGCATTCTAGCTTTTACATGCTGCCCATTGCTGTCCTGTAAACACGAAGGAGAACTGAGCAAGTCAGCAGGTGGCAAAGAAGAATAACACTTATGGACTTGGTGGAGTCTATTAATGATGACCTTTTGTTGGCATATCAGGTGCTTGACTGTGTCAGTCACAGATAATGGCCTTGACTGGCATAAGGGCTGATGTTTTGCAAACTAATAAAGAGGTAACTTGCTTTTCCTGTTGATACTTCGGCATTTTTCAAGAGACAAGCAGAAAAATGCACTCCCGAATGATAAACAGGGAACTAAACCTGTTGCACTATCCCCATGAGACTCCTGTTTGCCTGAAGTCAGGAATGACTGTTTGTTTTGTAGAAGCAGAAAGGGAATCTGCTCACAGTAGTGAAGCAACTTACTTCAAGATAGAAATCGTTGTTTGCTAGGTAGAAGCACCGTGCTTTCTCTTCTCCTTCCTCTCCCGTTATTTTTATTTTGTAATATGATAGCGCGTCATTCTGTTGCAATATAACTTTTGAAAGAGATGCGGTAGAATTTAATATGCTAACTACTGTTAATGTATTGGGAATCTCTCCTTTCCTTTCTGCCTCTCAAATCAGATCAGGAAGATTTTGAGACGCACAAGAGATTAAACCCAAGTTTTGTCTGTGGAAATAGTTTCTTCTGAGGGAAACATACCATTCTGTCTTCCATTAGTAACATGATGCTTCATTTTTAAGGTCACATGTTGCAAAAATAATCACATTTGTTCTCAAGTGGAGAATAATAATGATGACTATTGAAAGCCTGAGGTGAGGGAACTCTTCCAACCCATTTTGATATATGCTTTAAGCCATTTATATGTTTTAAGCCATTTTAAGCTAGATAATGTCACCAAGACACTATTCTCAATAGCAATAGCACTCAATAGTATTTAGACTTATTTACTGCTTCAAGGTGCTTTACATCTCTCTCTAAGTGGTTTACAGAGTCAGCATATTTCCCCCAACAATCTGGGTCCTCATTTTACTGACCTTGGAAGGATGGAAGGCTGAGTCAAACTTGAGCCAGTGAGACTCAAACTGCCGAACTGCTGGCATCCAGCAGTCTGCAGAATTAGTGTGCAATACTGCATTCTAACCACTATGTCACCATAGCTCTTGATTCAGCTAGATGTCAATTGAATTGCTGGCATAAAAGCAAACAGGGAAAAATGAAAAGAGAATGGATAAAATTATGCATAGAGTGATGTGCTTTTTAACATTTTTTGCCATAAATAAATATACGTAGAGTACCAAAAGCAGGTTTTTTTTCTTACACTTATAACATTAGATTTAGGATAAATAAAGGAGTACTGTGTATGGTTTATGGTTAACTTATGGCAAGATAAGACGAAGACGGCATAGCATACTTAGTTTGAAGACTTGTGTTTTAAAGGTGGTTTATTCCTTAGCAGCTGTGAAAATGCATGAATTTTTCTCCTTCATGTGCTGTGTGTGAGCTTCTTTTTTTTTTTTTTTTTTTTTATTGAAAAGGTTTTCATATACAAATTTTTCCCCCTTTTTCCCCCCCCTCCCCCCCTCCCTAACCCCCCCTCCCCACCCTTCCCCCCCTGTGACTTCTTCGTAACAAAAAAAACCCTAATTCATAACAGATTACTTACTCCCTCCTCAAAATACTGACCTTTACTTACTAAAAGTATTATAAATCCCCCTTTATCCATACATTTCAGAAAAGAAGAAGAGAAAAAAAAAAACAAAAAAAAACAAACACATTATACTATAACTATTATAAAATAACTTCTAATTTAGCATAATAGTGTTTTATATCTATGCATTATTGCAACAATTCAAAACCACCTTCCACTTTAAAACTATACAATAAGTCCTACTTTAATAACATTTCAAAGCGGGCTCCCCATAAAATCTAATTTAACATTTATTCCACTCTATCCATTTCCTCCACTCCCCTAAATGTATCACTTAAAAATCCCTTTTCTTAAACTAATCAGTCTGTAGCTAGCTTATTCACCCACTGTCTTACAAATTTACCATACACAACAATTCTTGATATCTTTAATTCACTGCCCACACTACTTAAAAATATATATATATATATATTCCATTATATCTAAATAAAAAAAGAAAAGACAATAACTTTAAATTTATAGTCCATATAATATCTTCTTGAAGTCTTTCCACTGGATTGTTAAAACCAACATCCATAATAGGGTGACATAGCTTGCGGATGCAACAGTTTATTCAAGATCTCCAATCATATCTGCCCCCATCAGTAGTAAACATCTTCTTATATATATAAAAGTAAAAACAACCACCCGAGTGACATTATAATTGTATTCCATATAATAATAATTGTGGGTTTCATCAGGATTATTAATTTCCATCATCGTATTGGGTAACAACCCGATCTTCTGCATGTCCCAATGTGATTCTCTTGCCTTATAATTCAAGATAATTATAATATATTTATCAACACAAAAAGAAGTTTCAAAGTAGATAATTCAAAACCATCAATTTGAGGCTCTTTCCATGTCCCAAAATTACGGCAATGCAGAGATCTGCCACTATCCTCAGGATGATATTGACCAATATGTCGCCTCCTCTATGTTTTCACATAATCATTCATATTTTAAAATCACTGGCTTCACTGTTGCTTGGGTTAGAAATTTCTATTTTTGTACAACCTATTTCTTTTTTTGTTTTCTTTTTGTGGGTTTGACCTCCATCCTAATTTTTTGTGTCTCGCATTTCTTTTTTATCCCTTGTATATCCTCTAATTGGTTTCCATGCTTGTCCTTGCCTTGATAAGTCATCACATTAAAATCAGATGGCACTTCTCTCAAATTTGTAGATAATCCAGCTGGGGTATCCGATAAATCCAAAGGCAATTTATCTGGTACAGTCTCTGTCTTTAGTTCCAGCTCCTTCTGCTTATCCTGTATTATATCTGAAGACGTTAAATTCATTTTCAACCTATTTTGATAAAATTCTTCCGCTCTTTCAACAGTATTTAACTGGTATCTTTCTCCTTGATATCTCAATATAATACCAACTGGGACGTCCCACCGGAATTGAATATTTCTCCTTTTTAACTCAGACACCAGAAAGCCAAATTTCTTCCTTTCCATTAATATCTTAGGTGGGAGTTCCTTGTAAATCCAAATCTTTCTTCCATACAATTGCAAATTAGAATTGAAGGAATTTTGCACAATTTTATTCCTAATTTCTTTATCTGAAAAATAGATTACCACATCTCTAGGCAATTGCCTTTGCTTGGCAGTCCAGGAGTTTATTCGATAAGCTCTGTCAATCCTACAAAACACTTCCTCAGGTTGAATCTTTAAAATCCCAGCTAGAAATTCAGAAGATATTTTCCTTAAGTCATCTCTGTTATTTTCCTGCAAACCTCTAAGTCTTATTGCATATTCTGTGAAATTATATTGTATCTTTAGAACCTCTTTTTGAATCCTCTGTTGCAGATATTCTACATTACCAGACTTTTGGTCAGCATCCATTTTAAATTTTTCTTCTGAACTATAATCCTGAATATTTAACAAATCATTTTCAATTTTTTGAATTCTATTGTCCAATTTATCTTGAATTTCATCCATTTTTGACTCTAGTAAATTAGTATTTGTATCCAACCGAATCATGAATTCTGACAATTTTAAAATTTTTTGCTGCAAAAAGTCAAACTTGGATTTCACCAATTCCTTAGTTTCCTGCTTAAATTTTTCAAGTTGCTGATTCACAATCTCATCCCTTCTTTCAATCTCCTCTAAGAGAAATTCTATTATATTAAAATCAGGTTTCTGGGACTGAAGAGTTAAAACTTGTTCCTTTAAATTCTTAGTGGGGGAATCCCCCCCACCTATTTGTTTGTCTGACTTCACAAGCCTCAGTGCCATGTTTCCGCCTAAGCAGGCTTTGTTAGAAGAAGAAAAAAAAAAAACAAGACAAAAGACTTCCAGCCAGCAACACTCAAGCCTCCAGGGAAAAAAGAGAAAAACAAAAACAGGAGCGGAGTTTTGTCTACAAATGTAGCCAGTGGTATTTATTCCGCTACATTGTAATAATAAAAAACGGAAGAACTTTCCCTCTCAAACTCTTCTCCAGCCGCGGCAGACGCCATTTTAAAAAGAAACTTTTTTCCTCTTTCTCTTCCTCTATTCTCTTAAGTAATTTTTAAAAGATAAGTAAAATACTTGCGCTTCAGTATTACAGGTCCAGCTCACATTTTCTTTGAGTAATCTGTCAAATTCGCAGGCTTGCTTTTGACGCCTGGCTCTGCATTAGCAGAGGTCTCCCAAAGCCCGGAGCAGCGGCTGGGGATATGGGGCATCTCATCCGCTCCATCCCAAAAGTAAAAGAAAAACTTTTGGGACTCTGCAGAGAGTTCTACCCACCCCTGCCGGCTCTATCTCCGTTTCCTCATGGGAACGGAGTTTTTTCGAGCCGCCGTTCCGTTGTGAAGGCGGCTCTGACAGGCAGTGGAAGCTGACGATCCCAAAGGAACGTCTGGCGGCGGCCAGCAGCAAACAGGAAGTGTGTGTGTGAGCTTCTTGAGACATTTGATTGGTCGTTGTGGGCTAAATGGATCCTTAATCTATTGGTAGGATGGGTGGCTACTATTAGAGTAGCTGACTTACAAGCCTAACTATGTTACAGTACAGGGTCATAATGACTTTGACTTTCTTCCTAAACCAATATGATAGATGAATAATCAACTCTTTGAATATTGCGGCAATCCAGAGACTCCATGCCAATTGCTACAAATGGGAATATCTACTTAGATCAATACAGCTGGTCGAAGTGACCTGTTTATTATAACGTTTTGTCCTTGTAGTCATATCAGATCTTGAAATCCTTAGGAGGAAGAGAACTACAACTTTTGCCTGCAGACACAGATATTTAGGAAATTAAATGTTCTGACCTTTCTTCTTAAAGTGGTTCTTGTGCCCATTTTGAATTTTATCTGGAATAAAACAGACATGTTGTACTCTTATCAGGCTATGGATCAATACATTTGCTATAGAGAATTAGAGTCATAGAGAAAAAAATTGTTTGTATATTTGGGTTAGCTATATAATTGTTTGTCATGGCAGTGTGGCATTTAATAAAGTGAAGAAAGAGACTGTCCACTTTAACTAGTTAAAAGGTTAACCGTAAGAAGCAGCTGTGATTTAATTCCTTATTGAGAATATTACTGAGTTCATTGTATGCTCTTTTAAAATCCTATGAAAATAACACATGCTTTAGGTTCTTCTCCCCCAAGAGAAAAATAATCTTTGGGTGAGCATCTTTTTTCATGCTGGTATGCTCATCTGTTTATATCTTTTTTGCCTCTAGCTCTCTTCTCATGATTCTACTCTTTTCTCATATCTCTTTTATCTCTGACCTCCCCCACAATAGGAAAAATAATGCATCTGCACTAAAAAAAAATTGCCTAAGGAATTCATTTATCTTCTCTTGCAATGCTCTGGAAGTAGAGGACAATAGCAGAAGAGACTTAGTTCCTTAAAATTATTACTTTACTCTGATTCTTGAGGACATTTCCAGTGCTGAGATAAACTGAAATGCTAAAGGAAGTTGTATGACTACTTTATAAATAAAACTAATTAATTTATGAGGGTTAGGCTTGGTAAGAAATGAATGTGGGTTAAAATTAAAGTATTACATAGTGGCGTATTTCAAGTAAAACTGATAGAAACTTGCAAGATAGAACTTTATAACATGATCATTTGAATTGGAAAAAACAGTAAAATAAACAAAATTAAATCTTACTCAAATGGAAAGGTTGGATTTGCTTAGTTTTGACTCTTTCATAAAATCTGGTTTACTTTTGAGATTGCCATACTGATGTTTTTTTTTTGTTTTTTTGTTGTTGTTTTGTTCCAGATTTTTTGGATCAATATTTACTTTTATTGTAATGTGTTTATAATAGCAAAAAATGACTTTGCTCCCAACTTGTCTAGGTAACAGCTTCTGATAACAATTTTACTGTACATGCAAAATTTGATTGTGGCCCCACAATTCAGGAATCTGTCCCCTGTAGGGTTAGACCTGATTTGCAGGATGCAAATCTAGTACTTAGTTCTGAAACTAAGGGATGATACTAAAAGTGCATTGAACTGCCTAATAAACTTACTAATGGCCTTTTGTTTTTGCTGGTTTAGAATTCATTAACATTTAAGAATTTAAGAATGATGTCAGCCAGGATACAGCTTGATTTATCTGTCATCAGCAGGGTAGATTACATTGTGCTGGGGAAAATTTCTACATTTATAGAGATCCCTGCTGACTTTCATTTATGAGTTACTGGAAAAATGAAGTTTAGAAATGCCCAGAAACCATTTGATTACATTTGTGGTATAGAAAAATGTACTTTTGTGGGAATTATTTTTGCCTTGGTTTATACCATTTTGTGTTCTTAGGTAGACTTGGCAAAGTTGAATTGTTTCAATACTTAGAAAGCAATGAAGGCTTTGGATTAGACCTAGAGAGTTAAACCCTAACCCTAACCCTAACCCTAAATCTTCCCTATGAAATCTCTTTCACTGGCCTGGAACCAGTCACAGTTTAAACCCAATCTATCTCGCAGAATTGTTTGGGGAAAAACAAAGAAGGAATACTATGTACAAATAAGAAATATGTAAAAAATATTTAGAATTTTGATATTATTCACATTTTATTTATATTAAATTAGTAATGTGTTTGAGCTACAGTACTATTTCATTTTTAATTAATTAAAATGTATAAATTGCTGCAGATTAGGCTAGGAAAGATATTGTTGGTAAGTGTGGAATATATATAATAAAGATCAAGCCAAGCAAACAGCAACAAGTTGGCATACAATCACAGATAGACTGTATAAGCTTTTAGGATACACATTTAGAATTTTGAGGAAGGGTCAAAAGCACAATTACACAAAGGCTATTTATAATATAATATAAAGTTCCTCCTTGGAGTCAACTCCAGGTTTCCACATATCTTGTTTCCATCTCCAAGCCTCCCCAAAAGCCAGAGAGCAATAATGTGAATAGTTTTGGACTGTTTTGTGCTTTTGGATCGATAAAATATCCCTTTCTTATTTTCCTTTGCTTTCCTGATGTAATGAGGAATTCTAGTTTCCACCATCCATCATCACCATATTGCTCATTTTGGAGCCTCAGCATTTCATTCTGAAGTGCTCATAGCCACCTGAAAGTAATGTTAATTTTTAAAAAGATGAATCCATCAAGTACTGTTGCAGAATGAAACATGCATTCACAAAAGTGCCGAGGGGCATCATATTGTTCACCATAAATATTGGTGGGCAATTAGGAAGTATATATCAATTAATTCACCTCATTCAGGATTTATAGTTTACTTTTTGTTATGTTGTTCAAGACATAATTTGATTGCACAGATACCCTATTGTGGGCTGAAGCAGCTTTATACTCAAAGCTTTCTCCTTGAGCTCATTTATTTATGTCAATGAGCTAATCAGTAGAGTAGTTTTTACAAAGTTCTTGATTTTCTGAGCTCACGTATCCCTTCATTTTTATGTGAACTTCATTGGATTAGAAGATCTGTTTCTGTTTTTGCATTCACTTCGAGTTACAGTGCAGTACTGGGAGTACATTGTAGGTTTGTCAGGCTCATTAACAGAAAATGGTGTTGGAGTCTATGCTGTTCTAATTGGGATGGCTTTTAATGATGCCAGAAAAAGAAAGTAATTATGGCATTAAAGCCCATTTATAATCACTGAAACCAACCAACCACCCCTGTCCATCAAAAGGTATTTTCTCAGGTTTGTTGGATCTATATAACACTGGCCTGAATGTTTCTGAGGTGAATATTGCTGAGACATTAAAATGCACATGGAACTACAGCATGATGCTTGCCAGATGGTTCTCTGGAAATTGACATCTGGGAGAACTGGCACTACAGGTAGAGATCAAAGCAAGAAGCAGTCTTTCAATGGGGAAAGGAACAATTGAGCATGTGGCACAGTTGAGGCAAAAAACTAGAGGCAAGAAGCACTGGATATCAATTAATCTTTGCTTGCCTGAACAGTAATGTTTAAGATAGAGACAGGGAAACATTTTGCATGTTTTGCTTTTGGAGGACAAAGCTTAAATTGGATAGAGTGATGGCACATAGTGGACAGAGCCAGCATGTTACGGATTTTGCTCTCAATTGGGGATGGTTTTTCTTTTAAAATAATCTTGAGTAGCCTATTTTGAAGCTTATATTACTGTTTTCATTTACTTCAAAACAGCAGGAAACCAGACCAGTGATTTTTGGTAATTGTAATTGGAAGATAGCCTGGGAACTGTAGAAAAGAGTGCTGGAGGCTTTAGCCCTGAGGTTTCAGGTTTGGGCAACAGCGCTTGTCTTTGAAGTGATTTAATGTTGGCCGGCCATAACCAGGAAGAGTTGTAATTTTGAGAACAGGTCATAATCACTTTTTCAATGGCTGTTATAACTTTGAACTGTCAATAAATAAATGGTTGTAACTTAAGGACTACTTATATGTTTGTATTATGTTGTATTATTATTGATGTTGTTTTAATTGTTGATTGGGAACTGCTCAGAGTTTGACATAAGATGAATGGCTATATAATTGTTTTAAATAAATAAAATGGGTGCATGTAAAGCTACCTTAGGGGAACATTCATTGTACCTGTTAGAAAATATATTTCTTTCAAATAATTAATTGGTATTGTTGGAGATCCTTTGATTTCCAACAGTACTGATAAGATGCTAACTAAGCAAGACCCCCTATAAAAAACTGATGTATCTTCTGTGCTTCTTAATTGAGTGTACCCCAGCTTCCTTATGATACTTTATGACCGTAATAAATATTTGGCTTGAAATCATCTTACTTTTGAAAATAGGTGGCTTAAATAACTTTTCTATATACCTAAGATTAGGGAGAAGTGCTTGCAAGAAGATTTTTCTGAGTTTAGTCTTTGTTAAGAATATGGTTCTAGCAAGATGTATGTGGTATAGGGCAGTGGTGGGTTGCTCCCGGTTCAGCCCGGTTCAGGTGAGCTGGTAGTGGTGATGATGTGACGTCAGCGAACCGATTCTCTATGACAGTGAGCTGGGCCCTCCTGCCCACCCCCGCGTTATACCTACCTTTATTTGTTGTTTTTTAGCCCAGCTGATAGGCATGGCAGAATGGATTGCTGCATGTAAGCTGGGCAGAAATCTAATGCGCTTGCGCAGAGCACAAGTTCGGGGTGCGTGTGAGCGAAGCCAGCATGCGCACGGTGATCGCACGCAAAACGCATGTGCGAAGAGAACCGGTGGTAACACCAGTTGGAACCCACCTGCTGAAGTAGGGGATTGGATTAGAAGACCCTCCAAGATCTCTTCCAACCCTGTTAATCTGTGCTCTAAAGTCTCTTAATTCAAGTTATTGTTTAAAGTGCACTTTGCATGATCACTAGAATCATTTGAGCTGTAACATAGTTTAAAGTTTTCTCCCATAGAGCACCATCTAAAGCTCGAACTAATTGTGTCACAATGTTTGCTTCTGTGTACTATAATCTATTTACAGATCACATGAAATGCTCTTTGCAATACCCTGTTAAGGAAACATGGACATGAAATAACCTAGCAAGTAGAGCAGTGTTCCTTAAACTTTTTAAAGAAGTTGACTGCTTGTTGGGAAATGGCCTAGTTTTAAGCTATTTCTTAGCTCGTTTTAGAACCACACACTGTTAAATGAAGGAATTTGTTGAGAGCTGCATTTTGCTGTATTTTTTTAAAGTTAGCTTTCTCAATTTAGCTTCGCTATTGAAAAGGTGAGGTTTGGGAGGAAATAAATAGTTTAAAATAGTAACTTTCTCATATGTTTGATATCACTGATTTGTTAGCATATTTTTAAAAGTGTATTAAGAGGCTAAAACAATAGGCATCTTGTTTTGGTTTTATTTTAGACGTTCCTGTTTCTCTCCTATGATCTACTTTCTGTACTTTCCTGATTTTTTTTACTTGCTTGTGCTGACTCCTGTATGCTAAAGCTTTCTTTAGCATGATTATATTCTTTGGGATGACAGCATTTCAAACATGAATTCTACATTTTCCATAAAAGTAAATGTTTAACGGATCCTAATGTTTGGTCTCTCTGCCTTTTTTTTTTTTACAGGGCCACAAATCTGCATAGCAGTAATTTATTGCAGGAAATTAAATCAAGGCTAACTGCAGTGTTTGGTCTTCAGAAATTTAAATCTTTGATAGCTGATTCAATTAGAATGCCAGCAGGTAAGTACATCAAGCCTTCGGTATTTACACAAAAAGAATTGCACCTTTTTGTTTTGTACTTTTGAATTTAAAAGCATTTACTGTCCAAATGTGGTACGTCATTCTACTGTGCATAATAGTATTTATGAAATAGCTATTGCCTTTTATATTGGAAGCTGAATATGAATGTGGCTTTGGGTTACCTGCTCAATACTTTGAATTTGCCGGTGGCCTTGAGCCTACACGAAGCACATGATTTTGGAACAATTTTTAAAATCTGATTTTCTTCTAAAATAGCATATCCTGATGTTTCCCATGTTATGCTTACCTTGGCAGTGTTTCAGCTAAATGCCCCTCTTCCTTTTTTTTTTTTTTTTTAAAAAAATTTGATTTATATGCCGCCCTTCTCCGGAGATTCAGGGCGGCTTACAATGCGCTAAGCAATAGCCTTCATTCTTTTGTATATTTATACAAAGTCAGCTTATTGCCCCCACAAACTGGGTCCTCAATTTACCTACCTTAGAAAGGATGGAAGGCTGAGTCAACCATGAGCCTTGGCGAGATTCGAACCTGCAGTAATTGCAGGCAGCTGTTCTTAATAACAGGGTGCTTTAGACCACTGTACTACCAAGGCCCTTCATATCTTCATACTTAATTAGAAAAAAAACCCACTGGACTTTTTTCCATTAAGAGATCAAACCATCAATATTTGACTATTAAGATACATGCATATTTTACAGCCTCTCTCCGTGTTTACAATAGAATTTTTCAGCAATGTATAGTGCTGCTAAGAAAATGGAGTGAAGATGGAATGTTATGTATGTAACAATGGAAGTGCAAGATTCTAAATACATCCTTGTGTAAAATAATTTTCACAATGCAAGTATTTTTTTCTCTATATGTAGCACTAATGGACAATAACTATTCTGTATATATATCTTGCTGATATGCAAAGAACTGGACTACTGTTTTGCACTGAGGCCCTATGCTATGTTATATTCATAGAGGAAACCTTGGGTGCTGGCAAATGCAAGTCTTGTTCTAAGTTCTATCTATAATGAAAAGGGACAGGGCAAAAGTGGACAACTAAATACTTTTTCAGGCCATCTGTTGTTTCCAAAGTATTATTGTAGGACCTGCATCTTCTCAAAATTTCAACATTCAAATGTATCTTTAATAGTTTTAAAGTTGTTGAGAATCTGAATAGTGTAGGTGCATATATCATTGTAGTAAAAATTTCAACAGAATTAGCTAACCACAGGAAAGACTTATTTGCTGTCACCATGCTTTCACAATGCACAACTTCCACTAGCTCCTTCTTTTCTTTGCCAGGCAGGTTTATGCATTCATTGTTGGCTGGGCTTGCTGTGTATCACTTATAACAGCGGTCACCAACTGGTGGTCCATGGACCACTGGTGGTCCGTGAGAAAACTTTGGTGGTCCACAGAAAAATTATTTGCATTTTTTATATTGCATTAAATCAGGAGTCCTCAAATTACAGCCCCTGGGCCGGATATGCGCAATGAATGTTTGTGTTGCTGCAGAGAGTCTCCCCCTTTGGATTTTTTGTGCAGGTCAGAGTGGGACAGAAATTCTGACTTGGGGTCTGCTTCAGCCTCCTGGTGCGGGGCTTTGGACGAAGGCTGGAGGGAAGCATCGCTGGTTGCGAAGAGTGGGAGGGCCTTGTTCCAGTGGGACTGCCTTATGGACTGGAACTGGCTGACCATCTCAGCCCACTGAGCCTCCAGGCGCTAGTACCTGGCCTTGCACTCCTGCAGGTCTTTCCTCTGCTTGGAAAACCTATGTTCATAGTCCTCAGTGAGGTGCTTCTGCTGAGCCTCCTTCTCGGTCAGATCCAATTTGAACTGAGCCAGCTGTTTTGCCAACTCTTTCTCGTGGTGGCTGCTTAGCTCCAACAATTGCTTCCTGTTGGGGCCCTAAGGAACCCGGGTGGGCAGGCGAGGAGTGGCTGGGAGGGGAGGGGCGAATAGAGGCAGATCATATTAGTGGTCTGCGGGATTTAAAATTATGAATTTAGTGGTCCCTGAGGTCCGAAAGGTTGGTGACTCCTGACTTATAAAGCTAATAGAATCAGAATTACTCTAAGACTGCTGACAATCATGGTAAGGCAATCATTTAAATAAGTTAATAACACCTATTATGCCTTTGCCGACTCTTTGAAATAGTGCAGTTTCATATGTGAGGAATAAAGATAAAAACCAGGAACAGTGCATTGCATAAATGAAATGGTCAGAGAGGCCTTATCCAGCTCTTGATTAGATGGATTTGTGTTCCATCTGAAGGAACAGAATCACACTCTGCTGATGATCCTAGATTAAGGTGACCAGATTTTAACATTGGTAAAGAGGGACATTGTGGGCGTGGCTTATTTTGTGGGCGTGGTTAGCTGGTCATGTGACTGGGTGGGCGTGGCTAGCTGATCATGTGACCGGGTGGCCAAGGCTATGTGTATAGGGTAAGGTGAACAGATTTTAACATTGGTAAGAGGGACACCATTGTGGGTGTGGCTTATTGTGTGGGCGTGGCTTGGAGGCCATGTGACTGGGTGGGCGTGGCTAGCTGGTCATGTGACCGGGTGGCCATGGCTATGGGTATAGGGACTACTCAGAGGGCTGGAAAGTCATTTTTGACAGGTCCTCACACTTTTGACTGGTCCTCACACTTATGACCATCCTCACATTTATGCCCCGTGCAGCATTCTTAACAACCATGTCACTCATTTCACAACTGCTTCTCTTCACCATGGTGACAAGATAGGGCAAAAACGTAAAATGTGAGGACAGTCGTAAGTTCGAGGACTGGTCAAAAGTGTGAGGACCAGTCAAAAATAACTTTTTCAGCCCTCTGAGTAGTTCATATGCACAAAAGGACTAACCAGAGGGCTGAAAAAAGTCATTTCTGACAGGTCCTCGCACTTTTGACTGGTCCTCACACTTATGACCATCCTCACATTTATGCCCGTGCAGCATTCTTAACAACCATGTCACTCATTTCAAACTGCTTCTCTTCGCCATGGTGACAAGATAGGGCAAAAACGTAAAATGTGAGGACAGTCGTAAGTTCAAGGACTGGTCAAAAATGCGAGGACCAGTCAAAAATAACTTTTTCAGCCCTCTGAGTAGTCCATATGCATAAAAGGATACACCAAGAGAGGGATGAAGGAAGGGAAGGGAAATTAGAGTAGGAGGGTAAGAGAGGGAGGAAGAGAGGCGGAGAAGGAGAAAGGAAGAGGAAGTAGGGAGGAGAAGAAGAGGGGGGGAAGAGAAAGTAAGAAGGAAAGAAAAGACAGAGGTGGTAGGTTTGAGGAGAAAGATTGCTGTACAATAAAAAAGATGAAAGGGAAGAAAGCCAACCCCAAACAAATATAAAGATAAAGATATTAAGATAAAGAATGAATGGTTAAACTTTAAAGAATAAAAGAGAACAAATATGAATAAATAGCAGTAATTAGAAACACACATACAAACATACAATTTATTTTCTTTGAACAGAGTATTTGGCCCGTTCACAAATTTAAACAGTGTTTAGTCACTTCAATTAAATTTACAATTTCTATATTTCCTTTTTGCCATATTTATTCCTCATCTATTTTTTTAAAAAAAACCAATATTACCCTTCATCCTCATCTCTAATCTTAATCAAATTCAATTTTTCCCTTCTATTCTATATTATACCCCTTCCCATTGTCATCTATTTTTATATCCATCCTCACATTGTTTAATTATGTAATTATGTAATACAGTTGTTTAAAACAAATTCAACATTTTAATATAAATCAATTAGTTATAAAACTATCTTTTTTGTATATTAATCAATATGAACATGAATATTCCAATTATTTCCATGCAATCCAATTTCTTACAAATCAATTAATTATATTTACCAATAATAATAAACCAAATAATTTCCCCCATATATTCCTCAGAACCACAATTTAACCATTTCTGCTTTCAATACAATATACAATTAATAGTATCTCAATTATTACAATTCCCTAGTTAAATACAGCTTTTTTTTCTTTTGTATTTTAAAATCTTGAACTCTCCTCCTAAATTTCCCATTGTTTGCAGTTTTTCACCTACCTCTTTTGGGGAGGAAAAATAAAAATAAAAATAAATCTCTCTCTGCCTCATTTTGTCACGTTGCACCAAAGATCCTGGTTTCGGTTTCGTTTCTGCAGCTTAGCTAGGAGGAAAAAAACTGCTTCAGGAACTCTTTACACTGATTGCCTGTAGGGCGGCCCTTTGAAGCCCCGGGCAAGAGTTTAAACAGTTTTTTTTTCTTCTAGCCATCAGCTGGGGCTCAAGAGGCAGCGGGACTCAGGAGGGAGAATGAAAAATCGGGACTTTTTTTAAACGCCGCGGGACGCAGGACAAATTGCTAAAAATCGGGACTGTCCCGCCAAAAGCGGGACGTCTGGTCACCTTATCCTAGATTCTCTATTTTGATGAGTAATTTACATAATCGCTGTGGCTAGGAGCACTGCTACCAACTGAAGCTAGTATGTTAGCTATGCTCATTCTTAGAAGGGGTTAGTTTGGCCACTGTGATTCATATTTTGGTTTATGATTCTGGATTCTCTGTTAGTCTGTTCATGGGACTAGTCTGGAAGCTGGATGGGGGGGGCGATGAGGGAGGATACTTATGGACTCCAGACACTTCTGTTTGGGAAGCCCTCTTTAGTATATTTTTATGGGTAGATCAAAATTATCATAATTTTTTTTTTCAGATTTCAACATGAAATGTAAAATACTAAAAGTCACTTGACTAGTGGGCAACCATAAAAACTGAATAAATAAGATACATTGGTCAAAGATTATTATGACCAGTTAGTAATAGGCACAATTTTCTTTAGAATAAATAATTCATATTGCATTAGATGAATATATTTAGATACTGTATTATCAACCCACAGATTAAAGAAAGTTTTCATCCAAGAACATACGTTCTACTTTATGGGAAAAAACATTGATACGATTTTGCTGTTTTCTATATGCACCTAATTAAATATTGGGTTATCCTCAAAAGAGCATCTTGAAATATATTTGCCTCCCAGAAACTTAAAGTCTTCAGTGGACTCTGCTGAAGCTTGTTGTTTCATGATTTAGTTCATGATAGTTCTTCTTTATGATGGTGTCTGTCCTATGGAATGTCTACTATGTCATACGTGTGGCCCAGGGGTGGGTTTTATGTCTACGTGTGGCCCAGGGGTCGGTACCTTTACTACCGGTTTGCAACGGGGCTGTGTGCAAGCACTTGCTTCGCTTGTGCGCATGCACGCGTGCTCTTCTGCGCAAGAGCAGAAGCTTCTGGGCATGTGCAGAAGCATTTTGATTTCGTCGAGTTCAGTGGGTGGAGCCTCCTGCCGGTTTTACTACCGGTTCTATAGAACCGGTGCGAACCGGGGGCAACCCACCACTGGTGTGGCGTCAATTTTGATGTGTTTTAGGTGTTTTAAAATAAAAACTTTTCAAATTGGCCATTCTAGCCATTTACCCATATATTGTATGTTCTTGTGATATAAATAAGTGTATATATGGATTTCTTGTATTCTTCTGTTTTTAATCTGTTTTGATCTAATGCTTTTTTAAATTACTGTAACTACTACATATTTTTTTTCAAAGAAATAGTATGTAAAGTATTCTTAGTAAGTTAGAAGGAAAAAAAATAATTGGATCAAAAAGATCTGAATATAGTCCAATGACTAA